AGAATGAGGTTTGTCATCAATCGACATTTCACTTTTTTTGAAACAAGAAAACAACTCATACAGTTGAGCTTTTCCTATAGTATTGTCCTTGTAAGCTGTGTTCAACATCACAACAGTTTCTGCGACATTTTTTCTGAGCAGGGAAAAAAATTTCACAGGCGCACACTTTTCTCTTAAATTGGTTATCACAAAAAATGAGGTTGAAGTCAAACTGCTTTCATGAAAAAATTCACTGTGACCAGAGAACCTTCCCAGGCAATGCCACTGGGTGCACTAACTCAGAGCAAGTTGCTTGATGCTCACTTAGTGGGAAAAATGCATACTATAAAAGCTCCACCCAGTGGAACTTTTTTCCATTTTTTTTTGCAGGGGTCCCTTGTATTCTTTCTCAGCTTATCCTCCATCTAGGCCTACACACTTCTTAAAGCAGTTTTCATTTCTCTAGCCTTTCCCTGAAGGGTCCTGAGCTCATTTTAGACCATGTCAAATGCAGTTTGGATGTTCTTGAGGGACGCAGTTTGGGGAACAAAGAGAAGTTCAAAGGACCACAGTCAGGGCTGCAGTGTGGCTGGAGTTAGGCTCCTCAACGAAGTTCTTGTAGGAGAGCCCTTGTGCCCCTGAAAGAATGGGAAAACAAACAAAAAAGTGTACAACTTTCCCGGCTTTTTCCCCACGAATGCAGTTTTCTATTTCCTTTAAACTTTTTATTAATAAGCCACATGATCATCCTGTGTCCTTTTAGAAAATCTATCAAGAGTACTCCTTGGGAATCCCCAAAAGCAGTTGCCATCACCATCTTAGTTGACCTCTTTGCCTTGGATCTAACTGATCCACCAGATTCCCCAGGAAACCACTGTTTTGAGTGGGCATTATTTATGTATTTATTATTTATTTATGAAGGCTAAGGCAAGTGTATTGTTGAGGAAACTTGTCTGTATCCATCCACTGATCACAGAGACGTGCTTAAACACATTTTGTTTAGAATAAACCCATGTACGTATGAGCTGGGATCCGAGTAGCAATACTTTTGCATTTACCCTCACATTGTGTGCACACGTCTAAGGAGACAGCCTCTTTCCATTTCTATGAAGTCAAACATCTCACTACCTTTTCACACGAGGAAACGAAGGAAGCGCAAGGTTGCTCCTTGGGAGAAAGGTGAGGCTAACTGCTCCCCCAGAGATTCACAGCCTCGGAACCCGACAGAGGATCACTATGAGCTGGAATCAAGGGCAGCAGGTTCATTTTGGGAGGGCGTTTAAAGAGCCGTGGTGGGGCAGTGCGTTAAGCTTTGGCCTGCTAACTGAAAAGTTTGAGCCACCAGCCCTCCTTGGGAGAAAGGTGAGGCTAAAGATGAGTAGTTTCTGGAGTCATTGTACGGTTACAATGAGTCAGAATGGATGGCATGGGGTTTGGTTTGGTTTGGTGTGACCAAAACTTTCATTCTGAAAGCTTTCATATCACAAGTAGACAAAGCACACCCCTCTTTTAGCAATGTTGTATACAAAATGTTTTGTTTGCAAAACATTTGCTGTTGTTTTATTAGTTGTCATGAAGTTGGTCACGGCGACCCCATGTGTGGTCAGTAGAGCAGTCCGATGGGGTTTCCTGGCCATGCCCTTCCAGAAGCACAGCCCTAGGCCCAGCATTCAAGGCACCACTAGGTGGGTATGACTCATGAACCTTTCTGCTCATAGTGGAGAACGGATGTAGTTTCTCCACCACCCGGGAACTCCTTTTCTGCACCACGCTCAATTCCAAATTATTTTCTATGTATCATGATGTATGCTCTGTTGAGGTTATTTACCTGCGCTAATTCCGTTGTCTACTACTATTAGCATGACACATTTGTTTAGCTTTCATTTTAGGTAATATAGACTGATGCTATTACTATCGTTGTTCTTTCTTTTATTGTTTGAACTCATAAACTATGATCCTAATAGTCACAATGTTAAAAATTCAAAAGATACAAAGCATAACAACCCCCAGGCAGAACCAAATATGGCCTTCTAATGCTTGTGATTGCAACACACTGAAGTTGTACTCTGTAGAGTGTTGCAACAATGGATGATCTATTACTGTGAATTGCAATCCATGGTTGCAAGCATCAATGGTCAGGGGAAAAACAACAGGGACTACAAAATGTCACATCCATTTAACACTAAAAGCAGTATTGCACTCAGCCTCTCTCACAGAAGCTGTCAAAAGGGGGTTGTACTCTTCCCTGAAACGTCCTCCCCGACTGCAGAAAGACCAGACATTGTGTACCTTACAATTCCCCAGACATAGGACTTCCAGTGCTGGAACCGGAACAGTTAGTCATCCCTTTCCGGATCCCTTTTACCTGGCCAGTAACATCCATCCTTCATGTGTCCTGAGTGTTGACTGGTAAATTCCAGCTACCCCGTTTTTCCCTCAAGAATTGTCCTAAGCCTAACAGGACCCACCTTGCTAGAGAGGTGCTCCTGAGCTCTCTCAGGAGGGCAGTTGTGGGCCAACAACTGGCACCAGGGTTCAGAAGACCAACCCCTTGCCACAGGGTGTCACTTACTCTGATGGCCTGGTGTGTGCGCTTGAGCTTTCCTTTGGGATGCAATTCTGGTCTTCAACTGAAATCACACTCCCGTCTAATGTCCTCTCACTCCCAGCCCCTATCCGGTCTCCCTTATTCTCATTTTCCTAAGCTCACTCCTCCAATAACTCACTTAAACAAGAATCCCCATCTCAGACTCTGCTTCTAGGGTGCCCAACTTAAGGTAAGATTCAAATGTATTGCTTTCTAGTCCTTAACCTGGGCACAAGTACATTGCTGGTCTATTGTTTTCCCAGCTGTGTGCAATTTCCCTGCTACCATTCATCTACATATGAAGAAAAAAGAAAAAAATATATGCATCTCATGTGTCTTTATATGTATGCGATATCTATAAATATATGGGCATATGAGATGTGTATAAATATTTTTATTTTTTAAGCAGGACTCAAAATTGAGAAAAACATGCATAAAAAAGTGTTGTTGCTGAGTCAGTTCTCACTTCTAGTGACCCTCTAGGCCGGAGTAGAAATGCCTCGCCGGGTTTCCCAAGCTGTAACCTTTATGAGAGCAGGTTGCCACGTCTTCCTTCTCCAGACTGGCAGGGGAGTTTGAACTGCCAACGTTTGGGTTAGCAGCCTGAGCACTGGGAAAATAGAGCTCTTGTGTGCATGCAGTCGTACGATGCTCACAAAATCAAAAGATCCAGTAAGCCAAAAAGTCAAGCCTCCAGTGGCAGTTTTGACTTGGACATGGAAGCAGCATAAGAAAAAAAATGTCTTCTTGGCCATATTAATTCTAACTTTAAAATGATATTTAATTTGTAATTATGAAATATTTGCTAGAAAAAGTTTCATTTCATCCAGACTAGTCTTCCCATCACAAGAGAAACTTTCATAACATCCACAAAGTCCGCTTTACCATGTAAGGTAACATACTGCAGATTCCAGAGACTCGAGCATGGGCAGCTTTGTTAGGGGAGCGCAGGGGGTGCACACAAATACTCTGCCTCCCCTAAATATTCCGCTGTGCATCCAAGGCTCTTCCCTTTGTAGGTAGTTGGGTTTTCCTTTCGGTCTGCTTGTCAGACGGTCTCTTTGGTGGTCTTCCATTTCACTATGATGTTCCTCGGTAAGGTTTTCTTTCTATTGTTCCTCAGAGCATTATTTCACCCCATTCTCTTCTGAAATTGTGAAACTGTCATATGTCTTCTCACTTCTGGTTTTATGTTGCCTCAAAGGTCTCGTGTGTATAATACGGATGGCCTAGCCCTCAGCTCCAAGCTCCATCAATCCCTGCATCCTGACAGCCACCCTTAGGTCACTCTTGGGGTGGTCTGTGGCACAGTTCTTTGGAAGAGACCCAAGGAGAGGCCCTGGGAGTCAATTCATTGCCGCTTGGACAGAAATTTTGGTGGTCCCAGGTACTTAGTAGTTGGTTTAGCAGTGAGAAGTCCACATGGCTATGTTCTCTTCTGGCCTCTGTAAGGTGGACACCTCACCTTACAGTGCTGGAGGTGGGCCAGAGCTGAGTCTTCTCAAACCAGGGTCTCTACTGACTATGCCCAAGGACAACATCATATAAGACAATAAGTGGGCTACTTTCAAGGGTGGAGAAAGATTGTTTCAAATAAGAAAAGGAGGAGGAAGAAATGTTTTGATTAAGGAGTTGAAAATGTAAGACCCAGGGAAATTTGGATGTATAAGCAAATATGGATTTAAAAATAAGCACGGTATGTGTGGTGGCTTCTACATCTCAGATTGAAATCTGCAGTCAAACCTGAGCACAGTCATCGTGAACTGAACCATCACAGGAGATACTTTCTCTCTAAAGAACTCTTCCAAATCTGGTCCTGATTGGCTGCATCCCTGATTCACCCACACATAATTTGCAAGTCTCAACTTACATTTCACTTTCTTTAGGCTTTCCCCCCACCTCCTGACTAATGGAGTCCTCTCTCCCATTGGCTCTACCCAGTCACACTTAGGTAGGCTAACATCCTTTAAGAGGACAATTGTCCTGGCCAGCATCATACTCTCAGCATCCCGTGACTCAACCACAGCTGGTGGTCAATCAGGGATTAGTCAATTAGCCATTTGGCTTCACGATCTTGTATGGCTTCACCGTATCAGAAAGAACTTTAACAGAGTATCAAACAATTCATTTTACACAACATTTTTAAGTGCCCATTACTCAGACAAAGGTGATCTATTTTTTTATTATTGTCAAATATAATATATAACATTTGACAATCAGCAATTTTCAGGTACACAATTTTAGTGTTATCAATTACTTACATTAATCACACTGTCCAACCATCACCTATAATCCTTGATTTATTTTGCTAAATACTTTATAAGATTCTCTAGAAAATCTAAAATCATCTTGTTGGCTAACATGTTGAAAAATAAAAGGCTTGGATTACATATTAGAAAAAAATCTTCCTTACATAAAAAATTTACTATATATGTATATTGCTCATATATGTCTTATATCTATCTGTCTATCTATCATCTATCTATCTCTTACCTGTATAAAAAAATGGTCTTGAGAGTGCTTTAGTTGGTACCTACCCACTCCAATGATGAAGGCACTAAGATGCCAGTATGTAGCGAGACTTCAACAACCCAATTAGTCTGTACCGATAACACAAAGTTATACAAATTCCAACCACCCATTGAATCACTGGTGGTTGGTTAATCCTCTGACTAGTCTCCCCAAAGCTAAGCCATGACAGTTGTTAAGCTGATCGGCAAGTTAAAAGACAGAGCTGCCTATTGGAAGAATCCAGTTTGAGAATGAGGGAACCATCTGCCCGAAAGAGTAATTCTGTGACTGTCCTTGATCCTGGGTGCAAATCCACAGATATTGGGGCACAGCTTGTGTGCCATTAAAAATAACAAATGTTTCTGGGCTGGCAACATTGTCAACCACACTGTCGTGGCCATCTGTGCCGCCAGGACTCAATGGTGGAGGCACGATATGTAACTGGCCACCCTGGCAAAAGGACCCTGTAAGCACCTCAGCCTCAAACACGTAGATCAGCTTATCGGTGGCAGTGGTTTTCTTGATCTGGTCTGCTAGTGTTCTGAGGTTCTTGGTGAAGTAGATGCCAGCTCCATATTTGGGGTCTGGTAAAAGAAAACAAAGATTTCATTCCCTGGCAGATCATATTGCCCACTAGGAGACTAAATGTGTATTTTCTCTCTAATTCCCCAAACAATCACCTCCTCCTGGTTTTAAGTGCCTGTGCTTGTAGGAAAGATGTTCTCTTGAGACAAATTATCATCGATTGTCACCAATACATTCATAGCTTCACCATTAGCGTTTACAGAGCAATGTCTGTTTTCCAAAGCACTTTCATCTCAACGATCTTCAGTGGATCTGTGATGTGGGTAGAATCACAGGTAACAGCACTCTGCTCCGTAGAGATTGTGACTCAAGCCAACAGCGCCATCACCTGAGCAGCTGGCAAAGAGAGCGTGATTGAGGGACGTTCTTTTTCTCATAAGGCAATGCCTGGCTTCCACTGCTCCAGACAGGGGCATGGCTAGAACCCCTGAAAAGAGGAGTGATGCAACTAGTGTGTAATAGGAGACGGCAGGGCGCCCGCCACTCTTATGGGCAGCGAATCATGAAAATGTGTAAAACAAAGGGTCTGCTAAGCATCTAAAAGTAGAGTCAGGGTTCCTGCCACAGTGGTGAGGAAGAGAGACTCTGGGTCTGAGGAACACCCGTGTTGTGCTCACCACACTGGTAGTCTTTCTTGTGGGGCAGGAGTAAGCCACCTGTCCACACCATGGCCTAAGGGGATACCCCACAAAGAATCTTCATATGCTTTTTATCTAGCTCAGGGTGTTCCCAGAGTGGGTTATCATATTCCATATCATATTCTACACTGGCCCCCAGGGGAGCTGGAACAATCAAGGAAGGCTGCAAGGGCACAGACAAGCATTAGCCTTTTCAATTTTCTGTTAAGGCGGTGGTCTGCCAATTAAGTTTGGGAAGTTATGTTCTATATCTGGGGTCGGCAAGCGGCGGCTCCTGAGCCATAAGCTGCACTTTCAGTAGGTCCAGGTGGCTCTGAAGTAAAATTGAAAAATGCCCTCCCCCAGAAGAATTTACTTGAGAGGACGGCACTGAAGCTGCAGCTAGGGGGGGAGGAGCATATCTGATCAGCGCAAATGGGAGCAAATGAAGGGGGAGGAAGAGAGAGTGGAGCACATCCTGGCCCACCAGGCCTGGAGGATGATATCCCCGCTCTGAACAGGCAATGCACAGAGTGGACCATATGGCTGATCCCACCACGAGACACACTGTCCCTTGATAGCCCAGGGCCCTAAGGGGGACGACACTGGAGACTCAGTGTCGGGACTGGCCCAGACTGACCCTGTGACACCGAGGCAAACCACTAAAAGCATGTGGCAGAGCAACTGAGGGAGTACAAAGGACAGAGTCTGGGGCCAGAGCATGGTACTCCATCGGACCTGACTGAAGGACATGCCTAGAGATCAAAAATCAGACCTTGATCTATTTACAGGTTTTCTTTCTTTCTAAAATTTTTTTCTTTTAATTAATTTATTCTTCTATGGGTAATTGGCTTTCTTTTTTGATGTCATCGCTGTGTTCTAACTCATCGCCTATCTTGCTATGGCTTGATTTGTGGTGCATATTAGTATCTCTACAGATCTATCTAGATAAGATAG